TTTGCTTTGTTTTGTTTTGAAATCATGAATGGATGCTGAATTTTATCAAATTCTTTTCCTAGAACTATTATGATAATTTTTTCTTTAATCTGCTAATGACATTAATATACACTAATACCTTTTTCTAATGTTAAACCAAACAGTATTCTTGACATACATGGAACTTGATGGATTCCATTTGTGAATACTCTTTTAAGGACTTCTGGATATCTATTCATAAATACGACTGACTTTGAATTTTCTTTTCTTGTACTATTCTTTACCGGTTTGGGTATCAAGGTGACACTAGCTTCGCAAAAAGAGTTAGGGAGTGTTCTTTCTTTTTTTATTTTCTAAAGGGGCCTGCAAAAGATTAGAACGTGTCTGTTTCATGGATGATGGACAGAACACTGCCTAAAAGCACCCATACCTGATGGGAATACTTCTGTAATAGTTACAAGGCTACTCAGGGTTTCTACTTCTTCTTTAATCAGCTTTAGTGCATTCTGGTATTCCGGAAATGTGTCCATGTTGTCTAGGTTTTAAAATGTTATTGGCATGAAATTGACTGTAATATTCCCTTACTATCTTTTTAATCTCTGCTGCAGCTGCAACATTATCCCTATTTCCATTACTAACATTTTCTTTCTTGATTTAGGAAGAAAGGTGGGTTGTCTATTGTAGTAGCCTCTTCAAAGAACCAGTTTTGGGGCTGTTTCTCTCTTTGGTCTTTTTATTATTATTATTGTTATTATTATATTTTTATTATTATTTATATTTGTTATTTCCTTCTTCCTGTTTCGAGTTTATTCTGTTGTACTTCTCTAACTTTTTAAGCTAGATGCTGAGCTCACAGAGTTTCGGTCTTTCATTTCCTTTCTGATACAAGCACCTAAGTTATTTCCTAAGAGGATTTTCTTCTCTGAGAACACCTGGCTTAAGCATCCGGCTCCCCGACGGCCAAGAGGAGTAGGCTCTAAGGCCACTCCTTCCCAGCTCAACCTTTTATACCAGGACCCCGGTCAGGGAGCGAAGCACGGAGAGGGGGAGACAAGTTACAAGACTTAGCACTTTCCTAGAGAGTGGGTCACTTTACTGAAGGGACTGTCTAAATTACTAGATTATGATAAGTCTTAAATTGGATCGACCATCTAGGTTATTCCCCTTCCCCACACTGATCTGTTCGCCAGGCTCGTGAAACACACAAACTTAGGTATAGCAACCAATCAGTCAATCAGTCAGTCAAATTTCAGGGAGTGAAATGTGAAGACTTCGTTATAATAACTCTGAGTGACCATTACGATCCATAGTATTCCCTACTATTCAACCAGCTGTATAAATACAGTTATTTACTAGTTTCTTTTTTCTTTTCTTTTTTTTTTTTTTTTTAAGTTTATTCATTCATTTTGAGAGAGAGAGAGAGAACACACTGGGGAGAGGCAGGGCAGGGCAGAGAGAGAGAGAGAAGGAGAGAGAATCCCAAGCAGACTCTCTGCCATCAGTGCAGAGCCCAATGTGGGGCTCGATCCCACAAACTGTGAGATCAGGACCTGAGCCGAAATCAAGAGTCAGGTGCTTAACTGACTGAGCTACCCAGGCGCCCCTCATTTCTTTTAAAGGTATGTTCCAAGCAGACTTTCCGGCGTACCTTTTTCCTTATTAATACAACACAACCCGGCGAGAGGATGGAGGCAAAATGTTTTAAAAACCACCTCCAGAGGAACCTTACTGCTCCATCATCTATTCTGTAGCCATTGTTGAGAGCCTCAAGACTTTTGAGCTTCTGCTGTGCCCGGTGCTGGGAAACAACGGCCAACAAGCCCAGGCACAGTGGCTGCCCTCACATGTTTTACAGGCTAAAGAGGATGAGGGACAAAGGGACAGGCGGTGCTCAGGCATGACGACAAATGTGTCGAAGCCATGCGCGTGCAATGGGAACACGTGTAGAAGGGGCGTGGCCTATCATTTGGGGCTCAGGGGACACCTTCCTTGAGGAAGGGGCACCCAAGCTGAAGGAGCCAAGTAAGGAAGCGGTTCTGCCTGTGCCAAGGCCCAGGGGCCGGCGAGGATGCCCCAAACACCAGGGCCTGACAAATTCAGAATGGCGTGTATCCAGTGATAGGGGTTAGGAGTGAGAAGAGTCTAGAAAGGCAAGCGGCCACCCAAGCATGCGGGTCTCATCCGCCTGGAAGGTGCCTGGATTTACACGAAGGACCACCAGGAAACACTGAAGGGGGTGATGGTCCTCTGGCCAGGCTAACGTCTCTCAGGACAGTCCGACACACCACAGATACATGAATGTCTAGTTGTCTGAACACTTTATCTCATTCTTTGGTTTTTTTCTTTCGGGGACCTCTACCAGCAAAGTGATCTACACAAATTCGAAGGCAAAGAACGTGTTCTCACCAACACCATATGCTGTTCCAGGGGAAACTCTAGCACTGGGGGATACACTCCAAGAATACATCCAATAAATAAAATCGCGTGCAACGGACACTGACAAAGGATACGAAAGCAATCCTCTGATTAGAGAGGGCAGCTTTGTAGAAACACAGGCCGGATGGATCCTGCTTCATTGGAGCACCAAGGCTTGCTGCCTTCTGGCCTTACTCGTCGGAAAACCGACCCTGTACATGTGGTCCCCGTCTGCAGCTGCCCTCTGCTAGAAGAGTTCTTTCTTCAGAAACAAGTAGCATTTAGCCCTTTCTACTCAAATTAGCTTACTAGAAAGCACAGATTATTTCACATAAACAGAGCAATTAGCAGAGGCTTGGTAAATATTAGCGGTGCTATAAAAATATTATTTTTCCAATAGCCTTTTAAAAAATAGGCAGATAAGAAATCTGGATGTCTCTCAGGCATTTCAAAATTAATATATCCTGAACCACAGCCATTACCCCATTCAGAATGTGGGGCAATCTGTAATAAGTGTATTAAATTCTCTTAAAAAAATTTTTTTTTTAATGTTTATTTTATTTTTGAGTGAGAGAGAGACCATGCGAGCGAGCGCAGGCAGGAGGGGGTAGGGGCAGAGAGAGAGGAAGACACAGAATCTGAAGCAGGCTCCAGGCTCTGAGCTGTTGGCACAGAGCCCGACACGGGGCTCAAACTCACAAACCATGAGATCATGACCTGAGCTGAAGTTGGATGCTTAACCAACTGAGCCACCCGGGTGACCCAAGTGTGTTAAATTCTTAAAAATGACAGGGTGTAGAGGCAGTGTTTTATATTAAAAGAGAGGTGTGTGTGTGTGTATGTATATATACGTGGATGTATACATATACGTACATACACGCACACACACACACACGCATATACATATACATACATACACCCACCCATCCCCAAATCCAATGCATGAACCTGACCGAACCCCAGTTCAAGGGCAGGGCAGTTATAAAAGACATTTTGGGAATAACTGGGAGATAGATTTGGGACCAAATATTAGGTATCGTGGCGCGTTACTTTCCCGGGTGAGATACTCAGGGTTACTGTGGTATTACCGGGGAACCTTACTTTTAGGAGACACAAGCATGGATGTGTTTAGGGGCACAGAGCGGGGCCACCTCAAAAGGGCAGGGGGAGCAAAATGGCAGCAAGCGGCGAGGCTGGGTAGAGGGTGTACGTGGGCCCGTCACGCTAGCCTCTCCGCTTTTAGGCGGATTGGGAATTTTTCAGAAAGCAGGAGAAACAAGCAAACACCCCCAAAATGGCACCCTGAGCTGCTGCGGCTGCAGAAATACTAAGCCACCGGGCCTCACGAAAGCCGCTGAACAGGGAGAAGAAGAGATCAGATCAATGTGGGCAGGTGTAAGGTGACGGTCTCGCTCAGAAAACGAGGCTCGGAGATGCAGTTCTGAGGAAAGGCAGTTCGTGTCCTTCCGGCCCTGGGACAGTGATAGCCTCTGAGCCTCGGGGAGCCGAGCGCGGGAGGGCTTCCTGCGGCAGGAGATGGTGAGCAGAGAAGGGCCCTCTGCTGCGTCCCTCCTCAAACCTTTGGCGGTGCCAACGGTGCCCGCTGCTTCCTGCACGGCTCCCCTGCCCTCTGCGGTCACCTGGAGAATCTGCCAAAGGGCAGCCCCCGCCCCCTCCTCTGGAGCCCCGGGCCCAGGATGCCAGCCTCCTTCGCTGCGGGGCCGAGAAGGCCCGCCCTGAACCTGCCGTCTCACTTGCGCAGGTCCGGCCCCCTCCCCGCGTTCTCTGGGCATCGGCAAGTGGCCCAAAAATAGAATCCCACAATCCAACCAATCTGGGTTCTCTGGAGGGCTCTGAAAAAGTCTTGTCCCCTCTCCTCAGTATTACCACTGCTGCCATCATTCCAACGGGAGAAGCGAAGAGCTGGGAACGGGTAACTCCGCAACCATCACAAAACTCCCGGTGTTCTCAAGTTCACCGGGACCACACAAAGGGCCATGAAGGAGCTGGAGCGTCACCCACCTCGACCGCTCACGTCTCCAAGGGCTGTCCGCCATCTTGCCAGACGGCGCGGTCCCCGTCTGGAAGGACCCGACAGAGAGCTCTTGCTTATACTGAGCCCAAACGGACTCCTCGTGGCTGTTGCCAGCCTCAAGCAAGTGACGATCCCTCTTCCCTCAGTAGCTGGGCGCGAAGGCACCGGCCTGCCCCGCTGCATCCTCCCCACACAGGAGGCCTCCTGGCGGCTGCAGCCCCAGGCTAACTCCGGGAACCAGCGAGCCTGAGGACGTGCGGGCTCCCAGAGGCCGCGGTGTGCACAAACTCAGTCCACCGTGGGAAGTGCACAGGCCGCCTCGCCCCTGGATCCACCACACCTTCTTCCACTGCGGACACGGCTTCGCTTTCCACGCGGGCTTTAATGGAGGACCCAGTGGAAACATCACACCGGGAAGCACAAAATCCACATGACATTGAGTTAGTGCGGCTGGGAGGGTTCCATCTGGGCAAGCCCCTTCTGTCAATGGCATTTACTTAATGAGAATAAAAAGAAAGCACGATGAGCTATGAAGGGTGGCTCAGGGTATAAAATAAACATAAATGCTTACCTCCCCCTGGAAGCTCTTCAGCAGCGGCGCTACCTGCTTGCGCAAATCCTGGAGCGAGAGGGGCGCGTCAGGAAACAGCCATCGGAGAAGGAAAGAGAAGGGAAACATTCGTTAAGTCCTCCTATCAAAACAGCTTTGAATTCAGTGATGACTGCCACCAGATAAAGCAATCTTGGTCCCTCCCCTGTCCGTTTCCTTCGTTCGGACAACATAAATCACGCCGACTGGCGCTCTGTCGTTTAAATGAACTTCCTCGAGAATACCATTAGATTTTATTTCTACCCCGTCCAGGTGAGACGCACCTCACCCCCCAACGCGCTAGGGACGCAAGTTTTTGCTCGTATCGGTCTGAGGTAACCTGCTTAGCATAAAACAGGAGTTAATGGTGTAGACTGGACTGAAAAGGTGTCTGAAAAGGATCTGGGGTCCCCGTGTCGCATTTTAGCTGTTGCCTTAGAGCGCTGTCACTCACTAGGAGATACATCTGTCTGGAAGCCATGTCTGACACGGTCAGTGGAGATTTCATCCCAAGCCACCAGTCCACATTTTAAGACGATGGAACAGCCCAGAGGGAAGTCGGTATGAGTCTCCTCGAGAAGATTCTCTTTGAAATGAAGTAAGTGGCTGCAGCACAACATAGCGATCATTGTCAACGCCACTGTATCGTAAACTTCAAAGCTGCGGGGAGACTAGACCTGAACTGTTCTCAACGCAACAAGGAAATGACAATCACGCGATGCGATAAAGGCGGTAGCTTGCACTGTTACAGCAACAACGGCGCAAAATACAAACGTGCCGAACCAACACACCGGACGCCTCCGACTCCCACGACGTCGTGTCTGTTGTACCGACAAGTCAATGACCTGAGGCACGGACATCTGAGGTGTTCACTGAGCCCGACCTACGCACCAGACCAGATTTAGTAAGTCTGGACCAAAGCCAGGTATCCGCGTACTTCTGGGTTCCGGGCCTTAAGCACACGCCAACGGACACTGACTAGACCGGTGAGGACTGGACATGTGCCAATCAATCCAGAACACAAGAAGAAGGCAAAGCATTCTGTCAGGAGCCCCGGGGATGGGGGGGGGGGGGGACACAGAGGAAGGGTCAATTCAGATTAAGGGAGGTGAGGAGTGGTTTCACAGAGGAAGTGGCGTCCGAGCCAGGAAGGCAGGCAGGATCTTTGTAGGTCAGCTGCCAATGTGCCCGTCTGGGCTCTCGCCACCTCTAAACCGCTGAGCCGGGCCGTTGTCGAACCTACGGGCGCTACCAAGCAAAGGAAGGGTCTGGATGTCTGTCCACAGCTCCTAGGTCAGAACCACGTCTGGAAGACGGAAGGCAGAAGGCGGGGGGCCCTGATTCCAAATTCTGGCCCCGCCACTCACCATCCACGGGAGCTCGGGATGCCGGTTCGCCTCCCAAAGCTCAGTTTTCTCAGCTCCACATGCTCAAGGGTCACGATGGCCTCCCCGAAGAGGGGATCAAGTGTAATCCACGTGGGTAGTATTGCTCCTGACACACGGCAAGTACTTAATAGTATGAACGACTTTTTATTATTATGAGTAACATCGCCATTACCATTTAGGGAAAAGCTTTCTAGCAAATTTTTAAAAAGTTATTTATTTATTTATTTATTTATTTATTTATTTATTTATTTATTTATTTTTAAATTTATTTTATTATTTTTTTATTTATTTTATATTTATTTTATTTATTTTTGAGAGACAGACCACGAGGAAGAGAGGGGCACACAGAATCCGAAGCAGGCTCCAGCTCCGAGCTGTCAGCACAGAGCCTGACGCGGGGCTCGAACCCACAAATTGCGAGATCGTGACCCGAGCCGAGGTCGGTCGCTTAACCGACTGAGCCACCCGGGCGCCCCTCTAGCAAATTTAGAGTTATCCTAAATCGATCGGAGTGCACAGAAGACAGCCTTTTCTGGCATCGGGATTTTCAAGCATCACTTGAAGGTGGATGAGGAGGGAATTCACGGACCCCGGAAGGGGTGGGGGCTGAGCGCCCGGCCTCTCCCGCTCTGGGGTGCTGGGATGGTCTAAGTAGCCCGGCCCTGGGCCTGCTCACCCCCCCTCCCCTGAGGTGAGCCGTCCTTGTCAGCTGCACGTCTGGCACCTGCTCGCTCTTTCAGCGACTGACTGACAGCGTTTTGTGCTCCTTTAGCCAAGCACCTGAGCCAAAGGGCCCTTCGGTCGTAAGCTCGAACCCACCTCACTCACTTGCCGAGCCGAGCACTATTAGGGAGCACTATCAGCAAGGGCGGCTCCAGGTATTTAGTGCTCCAGTGTCCTCGGTGGTTTTCCTCTGGACCAGGGCCCCTACCCCTCCTGGGTCGTGAGGCCTTCTGAGAATCTGAGGAAAGCGAGCGATGCTTCCCTCAGGGATACTGTCCGGCAAATCACCCCACCGTGGCCTTCCTAAAGCCTCCCCCCAGAACCCAGGTTAGGACCCTGAGGAACCCTTGCCCCCGCCTGAATTGTCACTTAAAGCAACTGAATTTAAGAATTCAGTTCCTCGGTGGCAGGAGCTACCTTTCAAGTGCTCGGCAGCCACGGGAGGCTGGTGGCCATCGTGCCAGATGCCAGACGCGGAGCACCTCCCTCACTGCAGAGTCGGCCATGAGTCGGGGCTGTACCACCAGCTCTGGGCCAGACACAGCTAACCCACGTTATTCTGGATTGTAACCCCGCCAAGGTGTCTGATCAAGAAGTATCCAGTTTCCCCTTTAATTATACGTCTTCCTCTAAGTTGCATTCCTATGGGTGACGCCAGTATTTCCGTGGAGAAGTCCGCGCTTTCGCTCCTCCCCAGGACACGGGCGGAGCGCTCCCGAAGGCCACCGTCCACGGCGTGCCCCTGCCACAGGCTGGGGGACCTCTCTGCCACCTGCTGAATTCCTCAGCATCCAAAGACCCTGATCCTCTGCAAATGCAGCCCGCTCACGTGGAGGTGGAAATGCATCATCTTCCGTGTTTGTGCGCCAAGTTCGACGACCAAAACCAATCAGACTCTTCACCAGGCTCTTCCTAAATAAATAAGGCCATCTGTGCTAGGCCCACTATCGGCCCCCAGGGACGCCCACGTCCTGATCCCCGGGACCTGTGGCTCTATTAGGCTACATGGTAAAAGGGACTCTGCAGATGGCAGTCGGGGGCCCTGAGTCTGGGAGACGCGCCTGGATCCCAAGCGAGCCGGAGGCGGGAGGAAGGAGGGTGAGAGCCCAAGAGGGTGTGACCGTGAAAACGGGGGTCAGAATGACAGGGGTGGACGCCAAGAGGCGCAGGCGGCCGGGGAAGCTGCAGGCGCCTAGAGAATGATTCTCCCTGGAGCTTCTTTTTTTTTTTTAAATGTTTATTTATTTTTGAGACAGAGAGAGACAGAGCATGAGCAGGGAAGGGGCAGAGAGAGAAGGAGACACAGAATCAGAAGCAGGCTCCAGGCCCTGAGCCGTCAGCCCAGAGCCCGACGCGGGGCTCGAACTCACGCACCGCGAGATCATGACCTGCGCCGAAGTCGGACGCTTAACCGACTGAGCCACCCAGGCGCCCCTCCCTGGAGCTTCTGAGAGAATACAGCTCTGCCAACACCTGGCTTCAGCCCCGTGGCACCAGTGTTGGCCTTCTGATCCCCGGCACTGTTGGATGAGGAGTTTCTGATGTTTTGAGCCAGCAGGTCCACGGTGCAGCCACGGGAGACCCTACTACGACACCGTCTCACTTAGCCCGTGTCCCTCTCGGGAGGACGCAGCACAGAGGACGAAAAGGGCGAGGAACGAGGGGAGATCACCTCTGGGTCCCAGGCAGGGTCAGGGGTAAAAGCCTATGTTGCAACCGCGAGGAACGAGCCACGCTTCTTTGGCAGAAACCCGCGACCACGGGTAATGACGCGGAGGTCTGGGGTGGAGGCGGGGAGAGCCCGGGGACTCTGGGCTGACCCCTTTCCCTCCCCCCGCCTCTCCGAGGCCGGGCCAGGCAGGCAGGACGGGCGCCCGGCACCACTCTGGTCACAGACTGCAGACACAGGAGGATGGCAAGAGCGCGTCTGTTGCTGGTTTTCTAAAAAAGCCGACTTCGGGGAAGGTGACGGGCTAACGAGGTGCGGCTGTGGTCTCCGGTGTTCTCGCCGGGCAGCCCGGCACTAGGGTGCGCATCCCAGCAGGTAAAGAGCTGGCGAACTTTCCCGAGGCGGCACCGGCACGGTTCGCGGCATGCAAGCTCCGCTTTCACACGCGCGCGGCGAGTCCCCCTCTCCGAGGCCACAGAGCCACGCGAATCTACTATGTACAAGCAAGATGTAAACAGCTCGAGGACGGGAACTCAGCGTGATGCCCATCTCACGACCACTGCAGGGACGGCCCTTGGCTTTCCAGGGAGCTATGGCTGAGCCCCCACGCCACCGGCAGGTAGTTGGGGGGCTCTGGGGGCAGGCGGCGGGCCTGCCTTGCCAGTCCGATGGCCGGAGGCACCTCCTGGGCCTCGGACTCTGGAGAGGGGACTCCCAAGGCTTTCAACGGGTCTAGATCTGGGCCTGCAGAACCGAGGCAGCCAGGCCCCGGTGTCCGTCACAGGATGTGTTTCCTTGTCGCTTCCCACTGGGAGTCTGTAAGGGCAGGAGTGATCCTGTTCCTTCCCGACCGAGGGCTGCTTGAGGGCAGGGAATGGGTTGTAGTCCTTCCCACAGTCCCACATCCCGCACCTCCAGCACCCGAGCGGGGCTGGATGATATTTTGCCAGGGAAGTCTAGGCGTGGGACGCTTCAAAACTCCAGAGGTTGGGGGTGCCTGGGTGGCTTAGTCAGTTAAGAGTCCGACTCATGGGGCGCCTGGGTGGTGCAGTCGGTTAAGCTTCTGACTTCAGCCAGGTCACGATCTCGCGGTCCGTGAGTTCGAGCCCCGCGTCGGGCTCTGGGCTGATGGCTCAGAGCCTGGAGCCTGTTTCCGATTCTGTGTCTCCCTCTCTCTCTGCCCCTCCCCCCTC